ATATATATATATATAATAAATAAACGTATGTAGATGAAATACTTGGAAGGAATGTCGACTTTGCGTTGAGACGTTTCTCGCACGTAAGTCAAGCAACGTAATATCGATTATAAGTTCGATTACATGAAAGTATAAGCGACACTAGAACGAAGAGAGATAAATCGTGGGCCGATCGTAAATGGATTCCGCTTCCTCTTTGCACAATCGTGAGCGCGCGAGCGCACGAACGGCGGTAACCGTGCATTATTTCTTTCATAACTATACCGATTAGACTCGTTTCGACGGATTCGCTGTTATCCTTCCGTTTCTATAGGATCTTATTTTATTTCTGCGACTACCGAGAGAATTGCAAGAGAAATGAGATTTTGAAACGGAAAAAAGTGTAGGAGGAAGAAGGGGGGGGGAGAGAGAGAGAGAGAGAGAGAGAGCATACGTCACAGTCGACGGAGCGGTCGCGAAAGGGAGAGCGTGAGAGACCAGGTGGAAAATGGTGATTCGAAATCAAGGAAAGGTGTGAGTCACTGATTTCGCTCGGTGTCACAACCCTGTGTGCCCCTTTGGTTAGGCAGCACGCTGCTGCTTTTTCATTTCCGCAAAAGAAACTCGAAAGCGAATAAAATCCTCCTTCGCTTATTATCGCTCGAAATTTACCAAAGATTAATCCCATTGCTAGGAAGGAATAAAAGCTGTGATAAGGGACGCTTTCATCTTACATGAAGCGAACCGATTTTCTTCCTTTTCGCGGTCGAAGGATCCATCTCATTTTTTGCTTCTTATGGCAGAGAAGAAGCCCTTTCTTTTGCTTGCGGTAAAGCACAAATCGAATCACGAAACGCATTCGTACGACGCACTTTTTGTGATGAAGGAGGAGGTGGAGGATGGATTGCGGGGAAAGAGAGGAGAAGGAAGTAGGAGCGATCTCATTCGACGAAGAGAGACCGCGAAACGCGCGCCTATTCGGACTGGCGAAACGTAATTGGGCCCACAAAAAATGGAGCGGAAACGGCCGGGCCCCATTACCAGCCCCGGTAACGAGTTCTCTCTCTCTCTCTCTCTCTAGGTTTTTCTGGGCCTCTCTCTTTCCCTCAGTCTCTCCGTGGTTGCTCAATCCGTGGTGGTTGTGGTGGTGGTTCGCGCTCGTGCGCGCACTCGAACCGCCTCGCCTTAATCAGCACCGTCACGATTTGTGTTCTCTTTCACGACGAACGCGCGCAACCTACTCCAGTCATTCTCCTCGATCGTAAACAAAAATTTGTATCATTGTCGAAACCGAATCTTCCTCGTTCGTTCCAATCGATTCGATCGAGATATAATAATATATCGTTTAAGATCTCTTCTTTCGAAGCTACTTTTTCTCTGTAATAAATATTTCATTATACGATCGTTTATCTCTCTCTCTCTCTCTCTCATCCAATTAGACAAATTTATTTATTATATGTATATTTTTGAAATATCTACTATCCTTTAGCTCTCCATTCGTCAAATATTTGTGCGAACGATTTGAAAAAAAATGTAGCAGGAAGCATATCCGTTATGAATTAAAATCGTATTCTCGATCGAAGAATATTACTTGAAATTTATCGATTTGCGATTAATAATAAAATGCGATTATATAACGTTTTCGATCGAATGAATTTTCCCGTTTGGAAGGAATCGTTGAGAGAAGTGAAAGAGGAAATTGGGGAGAAAATAGGTGGGGATAATTACATTTTCAGCGAGGACACATCGGCACTTGGAAATTTCCTTTTTATATTTTATAACAACTTGTGTTTCATCTCCGGACGCTCTTCCTTCCCTCGACAATCCTTCCGCCCTTGCATGCCTCGCACTTTAATTTTCAGCCTCGACATTTGCGTAACCCAGTTTCGCTATTGTTCGATTCAATGGTAGATCGTAACGTCCGCCATCCGAATAGAAGATTATAATGCTCGCTTATACATGGTACTCATCACATTGCGCACGTAAGTTTGTGCGTGTGCGCGGACGTGTCAATGTATGCACGTATGTACAGTGTACACTCTACTTTTTCTATCTCTCTTTTAACAATCAACATAATGGACTTTGATCAATCATTTGATTAGATTTTGTAATGTTTACATTACATTTTTGGACGATTTAAAAGTTTCTGTTATTTCTTATACGATCAGATTTTTCTGTTTGTTGCTTTATTTTATTGTTGTTAATTCTTTTTAGATTTCTATTATTTCTAAATCTTAAACGTTAATAAAAATAATGCTTAAATTACAAAAAAAAAAAGAAACGTTAATTGTTTTTCCAATATCATTGATGAAATTACCCATTGAGATGCCATTAGAAGAAAAGATAATAAATTCAAACGATTTAATAAGGAAAATGTGATAAGCTCTCAAAATTGTAAATAGGGACAGTGAATTCGAGACGAGGGAATTCACAAATTTACACCGACTACTTTCTCTTCTCTGCTTATCTTCTCTCTTCTGACCTCTCGAATCTCTTCATTGTCATACGTTTTCGCTCTCGTTATTCCTTACAAGGTTCCTATTGCAACGTTAATGTTTGCCAAATTACATAAACTTTTTAAATAATGCGTTCCCAACGTCTAAATTAAAAGAATATAAATGAATTAGATATATGATAATGAGTTAAATATATATGCAAAGTAAGTCTTCGTTCTATTCGAAAAAAATCAACATATGATAATTGTAATTTATACGAGCAACATAAAGAGAGAGAGAGAGAGAGAGAGAGATTACACAAGTATAAAAAAAAAAAAAAAAAATAAGAACTTTTCCTTTCGTATATCTCACAGCAAGAAGAGTATTTGCCATTGATCGTCAAGGTAGAGACTCCGGGACGGTAAAAGGTGTGCTCGATCGATCGTTACCGACGCAGTGTTAGAACATGTGGCACGAAAACGCTTTATAGTTGAAGAGTGGGAGCGAGATAGAAGGAAAGAGTCGTATCGATCGAACGATACCGAACTACCGCTTGGTAGCAGCACCTGCAGGGAAAGAAACACCTTGGGCCGGTAAAAGTGGCGAGCTACCAACCCCACCAAGTAGCGATACGGACACGAGACCCCGCCCGGTGAGTCTTCAAGGCCCAAATGGAAGAAGAGAGAAGAACGCAACGGTCTTGAATGCACGCGCGTGCGCACGCTCGTGCGCACGCTCGTAATCCAGCCGGTCGGGTTGCAATTGACCCTGAACTTCGGGCTGCGCTAGCCTACACCGCTAGCAAACAGGCAACGAGTCAAACAGCAGCGCCGGCCGACCAATCATTTCCTTATTCAGCGATTTTCTTAGTAACCGCTTGTCGAGACATTACGTATGCGAATGGCTATGCAATGTCGCCGTGTCGTATCGTCTCTTTCTTATCTCCGATCCTTTCTTTCCCTTCCTTTCTTTTTTTTTTCCCCCTCTCATGTTAGTCATCTTGAATCATCCTAGACTAGATTGCTGCAACGAATATCCTTGAACAGGAGACATCTACCGTTTTGGATTCGCCAAAAGAAAGGCAACAAGAGAGAGAGAGAAAGAGAGAGAGAGAGAGAGAGAGATTATGGTTTGTGTGTAAATCAACTTTCTTCGTAAGGATAACGCTAGATTCTTTTGAGAATCCAAGAAGAATCCATCGGAATTGCTAATATTTTCTTTGCAAAACATGATACCAATGACGACCAAGATTTTCATCTCTTTTTTTACTTTCCTCGATTGGATTTTTAAATAGGGTATTTATACGTACTTATATTATCTTCGTCGTAGATCAGATCGATTGTCAAACGCGCTCGGAATTGAAAAAGATCGTTAATTAAGTGCAATTAGTATTTATCTTCAATCTATAGAAACCGATTGTAAAAGCGATAACTTTGCGTGCTAGACATTTCGATGCAAGCAGGAAATTTAGAGAGAGAGAAAGAGAGATAGATAGAGAGGGATTTCTAACGATACATGACACGTAATTCATTAATCATTTGGCTCGTTTGTGTCGTGCTAATTGCGCTATCACGAATACCAGACAGATTTTTTTATGAGCATCTATCTATGGGCAAGCGTTCATCTAACAATAATGTTTCTCATAATCTCTAACAAATGTTGAGCCAGGTTATCGTACAGATAATAAAAACCGTCCGATAATTTGCAATCACGGTTAATCGGCGATGACACGATATTACAAGACTTCATTTCTTTTTTTTTTTTTTTCCAGGCGATGAATACGGATGGTCTTCTAACATTGCATTATGGGAAGCATCCAGCAACCTTGGCCGCAGAGGTCGCGGCCTGGTACAGCGGAGACCGTCATGTAGACGTGACACTGGCTTGCGACGATGGTTCCGTTGTCAGGGCACACCGTGTCGTTTTAGCAGCAGCCAGTCCGCTTTTGGCTAGTCTGTTACGTAATCCCGCCCTGGACCACGTGGTCCATCTTGCTGGAGTCAGGAAGACTCAGCTAAACCATCTTGTCGAATTTCTTTATAACGGAGAGGCTCTTATACCCGTAAGGATGATGATAATAATATTTTAATACAATATAGACAATTTACAATTTTATCTATTGCACAAAGCAAGATAATGCAATTAATATTTTATAATCCTTCTGATGTAGTGTACCATAATGTAATCTTTATATATTTTTTGTATGGATCCTAACAATAGACCAAATATCAACATTTATAAATACTAACAATTTTGAAACTCAGCCGTTAACCTAGAATCTCTTAGAATCTTTCAAATTCCGAATTCTCTTAGAATATCTTTAATAAATGTGAATATCTGAAAAAAATGAGCTTTGATTAATCCATTGACGTAATCCATTTCAGTCGACAGAGCTTACGCCATTGAGAGAACTCTTCGAACTACTTCAAATCAAGTCGGAACTCTTCGGGCCCAACCAATCTCAGACCTCTAGTAATTCCGATCCTGAAATGATACCTACTCCTCAACCCTCTGAGGATCAAGAAAGTTCTAGTTACGAATCGAAATACGACAGCAGGTAAGTTAAATTTGTCGATGATGATAGACGTTGATCGTGATAGAACGTCCCTGTTCCGGGACGTTATCAAAACTTTTCTACGTTTCAGACAAACGAGTAATCCTGCTGATTGTTGTTCGGTACTGATTAAAACCGAGGACTACGAAGAGGAGCCTGAAGTAGACGTGGAAGGTGTCGAAGGTGAGGGCTTGCTCATGGAAACAAGAGAAGGTAGCATAGAACCGCCTAGAAGGAGGGATAGTTCGGATCCCGTAAACCTCAGTTTAAATTCCGGAGCGTCAACGATGAGCGAGAGTTCTCATGACATAGTACATAGGTAAATATCTTTCTCCCTTTATAAGAGTTACGCTAACTAAGACACGATCAAATTGTATGGAAGATTAAGGAAACTTTTTGACGACGTGTCTAGACCAGAAAAGCAATTACTCGAACGGCGAGAGTCTTTGGACGAAGCCGAAGAGAGGTCGAGGCAAATGGCGGCCAGATTGGCGTTAGGCTTGGATCCTGGCAAACGAAAACCCGAAGAATTACCGATCACACCGGCTGAGGCGTACGTAGTAACGCCTCATCGAAAACGTAGACCAGGTTTTCACAACGCGCCAGCGCAGAATCCAGCCTTCGTACCTTTTAATCCCAATTTCGAGACACCGAGGAGGTTACAAGCCCCGCATCCTTTGAGTCTATCAGCGCCGCCGTATCTGGTAAGTCTTATTATTCTTTTGTAATGAATAAATTCTTTTCTCTAGAGGAGAGTCATAAGAAACATGGACAAAGTGTTATTTAAAAATGGTGATTTGCAGCAGGACAGATCGATAACGCCACCAGGGGCATCGCAAAGACCACCAAGTGCCGACCCAGCCTCGACAGCTGTACTAGAAGCACCTTGGGCTGCTTGGACTCTACCTCCAGCTCGGGCACCCCCACCACCTGCTACGGAGGATCCACCAAAGTCGACCCCTGTACGAGAATATCGATGTACCTATTGCGGTAAACAGTTCGGCATGTCCTGGAACTTGAAGACTCATCTTCGAGTACACACAGGCGAAAAACCATTTGCCTGTCGACTCTGCGTCGCCATGTTCAAGCAGAAAGCTCATCTGCTTAAACATCTCTGTTCCGTTCACAGAAGTGTAATAGCCGCACCGGATAATACGTTTACGTGTTGCTTCTGTTCGCTCCACTTTGAAAATTTACAAGAACTCATAAGGCATCTGTCAGGGCCGCATAATAATTTATTATTAAGTAAAAATCTACACGATTGCGAACGTTCTTGAATAGATTCATTCATCGGACTAAGACTCTTTCCTTGACCTTTTTTGGTCATTTTTATTTTCTTACAATTAAAATCGAACATATCGTTTTCAATGTCCAGATCAGATATTTTTCAAATACCTCTGAATACATCTTGGATTTATCACCATCGTGGATATCGAAGTTATGCATAATTAGATCTTTTTATTAAACAATTCCATCGTTCTTCTTTGATATCTAAAAAAAGAAATCTCTGTGATCTGGAATCTTGGATTAATGCGTTATTACCAATCTCAATCTCTCAGCATATCTAGCTGTGATCTCTGGTACCAAGCTGCAAGTTTGGTAAACGCGGACAATCGCCTGCAAGTGCCGTCTCTTCGCGAACTAAACGTTCCTTTGCGATAATAAATGAAATATTTTTTCGACACTTTTATAAGCCGATTTTCGCGAAGACGCGGCACGAAGCATTGGAAAAGAGCCTTTCCGATAAAAATAATTAATAGAAAATATTCAGAAAACAGGGTCTTCGTTTTCGTGGATCTTTCTTCGTTTTTAGATTGTTCAAGAACAAAGAAGTGATAATCGTAGAAACTGTGTATTACAAATAAGGAATTGTTGGCAATTTTCTTTCGAGATATATCGGGCTTCGATATAAACTCGAGTTGCCGAATAGAATAATAATATCGAGTGAAAGAAATAGAAAACAATTTGGAAAATCAGAAGAAAGAATCGGAGAAGGCTACGTTTCGATCTTTAATTAGGAAGGAAGGAAAGAAAGAAAGAAAGAAAGAAAGAAAAAAAGGATAAATAATATTAATAATAATAATAATAATAATAATAATAATAATAATAATAATAATGATAATAATAATGATGAGAATAATGATAATAATGTATAAATAAATCGTTTAAGTGTGCGACAGTCAACGCGAGAGACGGGGAGACGTCTCTCGTCTACCTTAGCGCTCGAAACGATCGCAAAAATATCTCCTCTCATGTGTTTTTTTTTTTTCTTTTTTTGTACATAATGTTAAATAGGAAAAGAAAAAGGGCCGTAAGTTAACGCGGACTATCATTATTATTTATTTTACATTTTGTAAAGGGACCAACCGATTTTCCACCGATTTCTGTCTTAGGTAGATATTAGGTATATCCTGCCCGGCAATCGTCTCAGAACAAACTAGCTCGTAAAAAAACCGAACCGAAATACGTTCGAGTGTCGCATATTGAGATTTTCGACGATCGTTTAATGAGGATGCGTAACATAAATATAGATACGGAGGGGCAGATGGGTACAAAAAAAGCTACCAGTCAGAATAATATGCTCTAGTTATCTCTTCCACTATCCCAATTTCCATTCCCTTCTTTCTTTCTTTATTGCTTTCTTCTATAATATATTTCTCAACAACCCTTCTCTTGCTCCTCCTCCTCCTACTCATAAATACCAATCCCTTTCCCTCTGTCATCTCTAGTAACGATCGTCGTAATATCTCAGCGACCTGGAGTGCCTTGCGTCAGATGGGTCCAAATCGGTCGATCGGGCAGTGATTTCATGTGTTCATAGGCTTAAGACAAGTTACGCGTTTAAAAAAATTCAATCAAGACGATTACACGAGAGCTCGCTTATAAAATAATGAAATATCACAAAGAAAATGATTTTAAATAGCGATGAATGATAATATTGATGATGGTGATTCTTAATTAACCGTAGAGAAGATTTTAATCATCACTCGGATTAATTTAATAATTTTTTCGTTATTATGTCTAGTTCTTGTCGTTGTAAATAATAGCTTATTTTTTTTTCTTTTTTTTTTTCCTTTTTTCTTTATTAGATTTCTTTCACCTTCTTCTTTAATTTTTGTCTTCTTCTTCTTCTTTTTCTTTGTCTTCTTCTTCTTTGTTTTTATTCTTTATTGGCGCAGGACGTCATAAAATGTTCTTTCTTTTTCCTCTGAGTAGATCTATTTCTCTGACCTAAGATGCCTTAAAGAAAAGGCCTCCGACCTCTCTTTGGCTCTTCGGACTTTCCCCGACAAGCACCTCGGTGATCATCGGTAATTGTGCAAGGAATTATGTACCTATTTGCTCTTTCTCTCCCACTTTCTCGTCTGACGAAGAATTAACAAAGGATTTTCATTAAAAGAGATTCTGTGAATTTCTTTTTTTCAATAAATGACAAAGATAGCATCAATTTTTCTGCGTAAAAACAAACTCCTCGATCGTCTTTGTCGCCAAAAAGACAAAATTTTAATGATCTTATATACATATCAACGCCAAAGATAGGATTGTAAACCATATAAGAAATGATTTCTATATCAATGACCAAAACGACGACAAGGAACAACTTTAAAATTGATAAATTTCTAATAAATGAAAAAAAGAAAATAATGATATACGCGCAATTAATAATAATAATAAAATAATAATCAATAAAATGATCTCCCCAGAAACGAATTGAATTGAAATAAAATGTAGATTACTGCATGAAAACCTTTATAACAAAATATTCGCGGTTAATGTTGAATAGAGTAGAATGAACGAAGACACAGCAGACACATGGGCAGACATACGCGAAAGAAAAGGAAGGAGATGTTTGGGAACACACTAGTCCGTAATCCTAGTTTCTCTTTGTTCTGTTAACCGAGATCACTCGAGGTGAAATAGAAAGAAAATAAAAGAAAATGAAGGCTGTTTCCTTTTCTTTTCACCATTTTCTCGTTATTCGTATTGATATGTTTGTAGACTCTTGGAAGCAACGAGGAGTAGAATGGGACGAGAGAGGAACGAAATATTGGAGGGAGGTTAGAAGGGTGGTGCATGAGCTCTCATTGAATCATCAAGCGTACGCGAATGGCCAGCACAAAACGCGAATTAACGCAATGTGATACTAAATGATAATAAGAATAAAGATATAATTATTCTGTAGCGTGCGACTGCTCGGGACACGTCTGTTTCAGATGAACAAAATGTATAATAGGGAAAGAGAGAGAAAAAGAGTCGCCTCGAATAAAATAAGCAGCTAATTTTTCTCACCCTCATCCTCATCCCTCACTTTCTGATCCACGAACCTACCCTGCCTGATCATCCTTCAATTTTTCCATCATTTTCGAGTAGTAGACGGACTAGGGTTACGCAATCAACATTATTTTAACGTTTAATTAATTATGCTTATTTTATATGTGTGTATATTATACACGCATATTCACGAAGCTGGGTGCTCAGATATTCCCTAAGAGCCAACGAATGTATTGTCGTTTTATATGCGTAGAAATATTTACTTTCAAAGCGTCTTTCCTTCGTTAATTTTACTTTTTTTTTTTCTTTTTGTTCAACATAAAACGTTCGAAGTCAATATTTTAGAGATTTTTTGCTGCGAATTCCAAGAAGAAACGTGTAATCGTTCTAAACGATCGTGATTTTATTATCGTTGTTATGTAGTATCGAATCCGTCCTGAAAACAAAACAACAAAGAAGAGAAGATCAGTACTTTTAACGTCATTCACGGGTAATCTGAGCAAAGTTTCATAGTTGTTAAGTATTTTCCGAGCGGTGAGCGTCCTCTGCGTGCTTTTTTAGTGTTCATAGTCTTTACGATGAAATAAATTAATTTCGAAAAAGGGAAAAGTATGTAAAAATGAACAGATAAAACAGAAGCGAGCAAAAGAATTCGTTATTTCTTTTTCTTTATGCGTTTTTACTTTCTTGACAATCCTTTTACTTGATATTCCTGATATTATAATCATTTTTATTTCCAAAAACACAAAATACATTGGTTGCCGAATAAAAATTCTAAACGGAGTGAAAGATAAGTAAAGTAAAGTAAAGGAAAGGGAAGAAGCCAACGATGTTAAACTAACGGTTCAAAGAGTCTTGGACTTTCGAAAAAAAAGAAAAGAGAAAAACGAAACCCGTTATCGATTGGGCTACGTTCCAGTCGTCCAACCTACGTAAAGGCGTTTGAAAGTATTTCGTTGGTGGCTGCGTCGATTGCATAATTATGGGATGATAAATAAGATGCAGGTTTTCTCGTTTTGTAGGCTCCCCGGAGATCGGTTAGACTCCTGCCACCTACCAGTTTTCTTCGTGAACGTAAATATCCATGGAGCATGTAAGGTCGAGGTTATTGAAACCGGCTTCGTGAATAGTTGCAGGAAGAATAAGGCCTTATTGAACGCACGCTTCGCGCTATAATTCTGCATTCTGTATCGCGTGTCGAGTCATACCTTCGGGCTTATGCGTTAAACGACATCCGATTCGATAGGCACGCTTTCTCTTTTCGATGATCCTTTAAATGACCCTTGGCAACGTCAACGCAAACCTGTTATTGCTGTCAATCGTCGAGCAAAACGTCTTCATATCTTTTTTTTTATCATTGAAGAAAATTAATCAAATTAATTATTAAATATAATCGATCATTTCTTTGACAATGAACTTCAATAAAATAAAGATCTATTGATTTCGTCAGTGACATCGGTTTTTGTTTAACAATCAACTCGTATTTTTGTTATAGTTAACTCCTTCCTTTTACTACCGTGACGGTAATAAGGAATTAATGGATCAATTTAATCTGAATGGAATTAGAATAAAATCACTTTCCTTAATCAGTAGATTGGAACGGGTAAAGCAACTTACTTTTGAAACATGTCAGACGCGTCTTTGGCAATTGGCAGTCTTGTTGTTGGTCGATAACTCCGGCCAATGGCCTGGACAGTCTACTTATGGAACACCTTGGAGATTCTACTCTCGATCGAACGGATATTGGCTCGGAACCGTTGGAAAATAGAAATTCATGAAATCGAGTCGAGGKGATGAGAAGCGTGATTCTGAAAAGTACCGTTGCCGGAGAAATTGCATAATGGAGCTTGTTGTTTTTCGCCGGGAGTGTGTAGGCATCGTGGTACCTAGCTAATATTTATTGGCAAGAGGTCCGCATCGACGTCATTGACCAACCTTCGTCTCTTCGATTCTCTCCTATCGTTGACTGGTCAGAGTTTCTCGTGAAGAGTACCGTAAGAACTAACGTCAATACGTTGGTAAGCGTAAAGAAGAGGGGGGCCTATTGATGCCCGGTCAACGCACTTGCATTCTACCTTCTACCTCCTTAATGTATATAAAGAAGAAGCATCGTACGGATTTCAAGGCAGATACCGAGAACAACATGTACGGTAAGGTGCTTTTGATTCTTACAACGACTCTGGCTATGACCAGTGCCCAGATACCTACTCTGGGTTGGTGTCCAGAGTACGTCCCAATGGCGAACTTTGACATGAACAGGGTAAGTTGAACAATATTTATTTTGCATTCTAATTCGAAGTTGCATTTGTTCACATATATCCTTGTTGTGTTACCTTACAAAAAATAATCGAATATTAAACAGATTTTAACGATTATATCGTATTGTTATAGTTTTTGGGCACTTGGTACGAAGCGGAAAGGTACTTCCAACTCGCCGAAGTGGTTTCACGTTGCGTCATGTCGAATTACACAAAAGGTCCTGATGGCAAGCTTCGCGTGAGCAACGAAGTTACGAGCAGAATGTAAGAGTAATTTGTTTAAAGAGTTTCGGAGATTGGATAAATATCATCATTATTTACTTATATAGTACCGGAATCAAGAGAATATTGGAAGGTGAAATCAAACAGGCAGCATCAAAGGCAGAGGAAGGGAAATTGCACGTGAAATATACGGCTTTACCTCTAACTCCAGAGACGCATTATTCAGTGTTAGAAACTGATTATGATAACTATGCAGTGTTGTGGAGCTGTTCCGGTATTGGTCCGATCAATGCCCAAAATGCTTGGGTAATGACCAGAGACAGAATCGCACCTGGATCGATACTTCAAAAGGTACTCCTCCCTTTCTAAAAACTAATAAAAATTGTTCTACGATACGCATTAGGTGTTCGATCAGAGTAAATACAAAGGATATATACTTGTTTTAGGCTTATGGCGTTTTGGACAAATACAAAATTTCCAAAGCATTTTTCGTGAAGACGAATCAAGATGATTGCGTTTATCAAGCAGCGAGTACGGTTACCATTCAGGATAGCACTGCAGTCAATGCGGAAAAGGAAGAATCCGAGACAACTGATGAGCACGCGCGAAACGTATCGCTTTTGTCCGAGGACTCGGCTACCAAACCAGTCCGACACGTAGAAGAATCGATCGTCGAGGAGAAAATACCGCAAAGGGTAGAAACCGTGCCGCAAAGAATTCTCAAAGTCGCGGAGTTTGCAAAAAAGGATGATAAGTTAGTCGAAAAGCCGACAAAGGGCTTGGAGGATTTGGAAAAGAAATCGAATTTGAAAAAATTCGATGACAAATTAAAAAAGAAAGAAGAAATTCTGGAAATACCGAAGGAATCATAAAAGACGAGCTCGTAAATAGTCCCATCGATTTTGTTAATCTTCTTTACGGGAAGAGTAGAAATGATAAAATTACGAATTATTTTTTACGATACGGCATCGATTTTTGATCTTTTGATCTGGCACGATATAATTTTTCTCTCGAAGAAAATATAGGAACAAAAGGGCGTCGGTCTCGTCTCGTTAATCAACATCGTTATTTATTATATAGGTAATCGATCGATTAAGCGTCGAAAAGTTAGGTAAGTTAAACTCAAGGAACGTTTATAAATGTAAGAAAAACAAAAAAAAGATAAAAATCAAGTCGAATAAATTGTTATATAAAAATGTTTTCTCAAAAATACACCGTAGAGATGTTTTATATTTCTTTTCTCTAATCCTCCATAGAAATAAGAGATCTTTCAAATGATTAGAAATATCTGGAATGTTCGAAAACAGGTTTTACGTACGAAAATTCTTATTGAAATATTTTATTTTTTTTTTCAATCCGATAAGACTTGACACTTATACAAGGTTACTCAAATAGAATATCAAATGCTTATAGATTTTTATTATTAAGTAAATTGATTTCGTATAAGAACACGCACGCGTCATAATATCAATACGATTTAATATAAGAACTGAATCTAAAGATATTCTATATATATAAGAGGTATTCTATATATAAAAAACGTGAAACACTTTTTGAATCACTTTATACATAGAACGTGATGCATTAGATCGCTTCATAACTCTTATTATTTATCGTTAAAGAATGAAAAAAAAAAAACAAGAAAGCCTTGATTATAAACTTCTTTTATGTTAGTTAAGTAAATACTAAAGACAATTACAAAGCAAATACTTTTTACATTATCTACCGATGAAACATTTTTTTCAAGATTATAAAATACATTGAAGTGAGTATATTCTAAAATAAGATTAAAAAGATTAACTTATATAATGAGACAGAGTGCGTAAGCAGAGAAGATTATTTACTCGGTCAACGATCCAACAAAAAGTTACCGATCTCTATGCCTATTACTCTCTTTCTTTCACCTATTTCATTTTATGAATTAATTGAAAATAATCGGAGATATTTGTTCGGAGACTGGAACTCTTGAAACTTGGAATGACGTACATATATGTATACCGTTATTGACCCACTAACTGATAGAACTCTTTTGGACGCATCCACTGCGTCTTGCGACGAGGAAGAGTAGAAAGACCAGTCATTGTGAAACTCTTCGTTGCATCGGAAGTATCATATTCTTGTGTCCTACGACGAATAATTCTCTTGCCTGGGTCAACGACGCTCCTTATCTTATTGTCATTCGATCGGTGTCTTTTATCTCCTTCTTTTTCTCTCTCTCTCTCTCTTTCTTTCTCTTTCTCTATCTTTCTTTTTCTATTTGAATACCTCTTAAGGTCAAGGTTACTAGGTGAGTTCGTTCGTCTTACTCTGGCACACGTGTTATTCTTACGAAACACTTTTCACTAATTAGTATACCAAATATAATTTTTCTACATCTGTTTCCGTAGTAAAAAAAATAATCAATTTTCGTTCATTTTACACTTTTCATAGCCTGACATTTTCGTTTTAGGTATAACGTAATTATGTAAATAACGTTTTAATTATGAGCAATGTGTTTTTTTTTACATTGTGTACACGTGCGTCTATTTGTTTCTCTTTCAATCTTCGAACAATTATTGCACCTACGTAAATAACTGGTCGAACGGAATAGTATAGCGCGGTCATTAAAAGATTACATATGTGTATATTATTGAAAAATTAGCATAGATATTTGTTCTAGTAAAAGTCAACATTGTTATAATATTTGCTTAACACGATGTTCGAGTTTTAGTACAAGTGTGCTGTTTAAAAGTCTAATAAATATTTATATATAATATGTATTTATTATTTGTTACTACAAAACTGATGGAATTTTTTTTGTATTTGGTCTTCTAGTAAGATTTTTTGTTATAATCTCGACTATATTTATCAATGTTGTTACATGATCACAGATAATTATTATCTTATAATGAAATTAATTGCATTGAGTATTGTTTGCTTGTTCATTGTTAACGTTTTGTGCAGTACTTGATGAATCATATGATTTTTTGTGACAGAGAAATTTAATTAAAACCAATCTGATGGAACAAGATAAGAAATGATAAAGAAATTGTCCTTCCATGAAAAATTATGCGACGATTTTAACGTGCTCTCAGTAATTTATCGAATGTCACTTATTTATTTTCTTTCATTGAGTCTAGACACAAATTCATTTTAACGACCATTCACTTTCAAAAGGAAATATCATTTTTTCCATCATTTTCATAAAACTTCATCAATACCTTAGCCTTAACAATTTATTTTATATTTTTTTAACTATGTTTTAACATCACTCAAATGAAGCTACTATGATATGACAAACGATATACAATTTATCACTCCTTAAGTAACATAAAGTTACTACTTTTTTTATAATTCCCAACAGGAAAAAATAGTTACGTACTTTACTTACATAACACCGTTTTTATTCTCAGCGTATTATGTTTTAATCAATAACATTTCTTAACATTGTATTAATTTGTATTACAATAACGATTAATATTCGTAAAAGTACACATTTGTAAATTCACCTATATCGGTTTAATATAATTACTTCTAATTATTACAGATATGTATATGTCGGATGAAAACTTTTATTTAAAAAGAATTAGGTTTCCATCGAACAAACGTTTATTCTAGCAATATTTACAGTAACACTTATCATAAAGTATTATTTAAATTGATCGTTAATTCGTGTATACATCATTGTCAACTCGATTTGAAATTAATTATCTAAAGTTATTTTGTACGAGTAAATAAATATAGAATATAATTGTCCATATTGATTCGATTAAATTCGAATATTGCAACTGATTGTGACTGTAGTCATACACCTATCTATCTTGTTGTTTTGACGACAAAACGTATAAATTATTAATGTGTTGACATTCGCGATCAATCGATTTTAGTCATTTTTGTCGTTGTAGCTCGCAGATAACGTGTTAAGAAGTATAGCCTAGTTCTCATACGTGGGGTTCTCTATCAGAGATATTTATTATAACAACGTGTCGGTAATCCAAATAAAAAAATTTGACATCACTTATCATTACACGGTCGTGCGTACTTATTCCCGCTAATGATATTGACGTATAAATAAGCGAGTTACTATCATACATATGGTTAGTTTCAGTTCAGATTAGTTCGCGAACAGACCTAAGGCTCTACAATCGTTACAACTGTTGCAAAGCTACAATCTAGTCGGTAAGAAAATGTTGACTTTTTATGATATTAAATCATAGTAATTTATTTTTTTTTTACAATCGCGTACAACGTAAAGAATTAGGATTTTTTAAATGTTAAAACTAAATTTAGATTCAAAGGAAAAAGGAAACTTGGAAAGAAATTCTAAGCTTTTAAAGAATTTGTGTATTTTAGCTTACTCAATCATCGTCCTAATAATTTCATTTAATTTTGAAATTCTTTCTCCCTTTTCCCGTTACAGCTATGTTATCGTTATCAATAATTCTTGTTTTGGTGGGTATGGCATCGGCCCAAATTCCAGCTTTGGGCAGTTGTCCAGATGTCCAAATTCTTACCGACTTTGATTTAGGAAAGGTGAGTTTGCGTTGGACGATAATTCCAATCATAAATATTTTTCCTAACTTCATTATTTCTTATCAAAGTTAATATTTTTTTCTTCATTTCTTATTACTCATAAGGACGATTTAAAAAAAGTCGTTAACCGTGATAATTGTACTTTGTTCTTATCGTATAAAAATACTTATAAGAAATGATTTAACAGTATCTGGGAGTGTGGTACGAGATAGAAAAATATTTTTCGGTGTTCGAGCTTGGTGGAAAATGCGTAGAAGCTAATTATACGCTCAGAGATAACACAACGGTGAATGTAATAAATCGACAAATTTCTTCTATGTGAGTAAGCCGCTGTCCTCAATTCTTAGAACGTAACATTATTCAAGTAATTTACGTATGTACATAAAACCCGTTCCAATTTTTTTAATTTTCTTATAGAACTGGCGTCGCTATGTCGATCGAAGGATATGCAAGATTTGAGGGACCACCGAACGAATCGAAATTGCTCGTAACATTCCCATCTGTACCGTTTGCGGGGGATGCTCCTTATTGGGTCCTAGGAACCGATTATAAAAACTATGCTGTCGTTTGGAGTTGTAGAAATTACGGAATATTCAAGTAAGTTTCATTACTTCTTTGCACCCTTTTAACAAGGAAACAACATTGCGGCTAACGATCCCTCCTCTTTTATAAATCGATTTTTGTTAAATTGGTCAAAAATTTCATTTTTTCGTTTGCAGCGCTAAGATTGTTTGGATCTTGGCACGAGAACGTTCACCATCTGTCGTTGTTATGCAGGACGCTTACCAAGTTCTCGACAGAAACAGAATAAGTAGAGCTTATTTCATACGCACGGATCAAAGGAATTGTACAGTGACATATTAAAAAATAAGTTATTGCTTCTTCTGCAAATTTAATTTAAGGATTACGTGATTGTTATGTATTTGATAGAAATTGTTAAAGAAATTTTACCAAATTATTGTGATCATGCAGCCCTTTAGTTTTAAATATATGTATTATTGTTATTAATATATAACACGATCGGTAAGCCAGGAATTGCATTTACCGTCCAATTTCTACCTGATCAACTAATCGTAAACAGATATCTACTATTGTTTTCGTATAAAAATACAATCCCGTGGTGGTTTTCAATTTTGAGGAAAATCAGATGGAAAAAGTAGAAATTTACAATCATTGATTGATTTTTGTATCTGTAAAAAGAATTGCTTGATTATTTTTACTCTCGTAGATAAGGCAGATTACTACACGTTTTATCGCTTTGGTTGGCGTAGATGGTAAGATCAATGATCTCAAAAAAACGTTGGGAGTGCAGTCCTTTGCAAGAGTCGACGAGTTAGAGTTGCATAGTTACCTATGGGGCTGAAAGTATATTCTTATGTAATTTTGCTTGTTTTCCGATTATTCAGATCTATTGATCAGGATGTACTATTTATTTAGTATAAGTTATATCATAAAGTTACTTTCAGCAATATGAATGTCGAGTAATAAAAAATAATAAAATAAACGAGAAAGATAAGTATCTTTATATAAGGACACAATAAGGATATATTTGAGAGTAAAATGAAAATCCGGATAAAACGGAAGCAAAGTTTGACAACGTAAACGTAAATCATTTAGGGGTTGGGGTGGTTCTCACGTTAAAAATGCAGGTAATGGGAAGGCAGATGAGAAAATAAATCGCGCAAAACGAAAGCGCGACAATAGTAGTTAAATTAAATAAATAATGGAAGGAAGGGGTGGGAAGGTAAAGGTCGGAGGGTGTGGTCGCGTGCAAGCTGACTTTTATTATCGTCGCGTGTCGCTCGTGCAAACAACCGAGCTCATTCGAACCATCGTTCGTTCGTTCGTTCGTTTCATCAACGATGCATTGTTCGTTCGTTCGTGGAAAGAAGAGACCTGGTTTGTCCCACAAAGCATCCACGGGAGAAACGGATAAGAGTTTTTCTCTCCAGAGAAATGGGCTGTCATTATTTTTCCCCTCTAAAAGCTTTTTTCTTCTTATTATAATATTATATTTAGACGTATTAAAAAAAGAAGAAGAAAAAAGAATAAAATAACACTACCCTTACATAATTATTCGTTTAATACGAGACTTTGTTCGTCGTTGTTGTTACGGAATGTTTTTATAACTTAATTAATTATTATTGAACGAGAGTAAAAACGCGTTTTAATCCACGTTCTCCCATCGTCAGAGAGTAGCAGTTGTTTCTCTAATCGTCGCAATCGCCGTCGATAAATTAAAGCAAGACGGAATCTAAATCACGATCTATAAAGAGGAAGGGGAAGACGTAGTTGGGACCACAGTGCTGATTTCTTGGCTGATCGCTTCGAGATTTGCCAGAAGGATGGACCTTCGATATTCCGGGCATAAATGGGCAGAAGAGAAATAGAGAGAGAGAGAGAGAGAGAGAGAGAGAGAGGATGAACTCTCCGAATCTCGCGTGGGCTCTTCATATTTGGAAGGGCCAGGAATGAACGCCGCGCCGGTCCATAATAACAGGGTACATCGAGGCTAAACAAACATACACGCCCCTTGGCATCTTGCACCGAAAGAGCGTTAAGGGAAGAGATCGACGAACGAGAAGAGAGAGAGGAGAACAAATAAAAAAAAAGACTAAAAGACCGAACAAACAAGAATGTATGGGATGAAAAAAGAAACGATTATTTTCTGCCACGTCACTCGCTTGTTGTGATGCGCGGAAAAGAAAGCTGTATGATGAAGGAGATATTATTGGACACGGTCCATCGGTATAAATGTTTACGAGTCTAAATGTACACTAGTTAGGTATACCTAGATACTTGAAATTATTTATGGACTGATGGGTAAAGTAGTGTAAGAACTTTCGAAGCTCGATATGAGAATGAATTTACGAAGCTCAGGTAGAATAGCTACGGCGTAATGAATAAATATCGATGAGCATCGAGGTCACGAGCTCGGCTAATAAATCGCTGATAAAGCGTAGACGAGGAATAAATTCTAAGAGAAGAGGCAAGTAGCTAAGCTTAAAAGGAAATAAACGTGCAGTTTGGGGTGAGCAGTGGAGCTGATAAATCGTTGGAAGAACGCTTTGAAAAATTATATTTTTTTTCGATTAACGTTAAATACAGGCCAAGAAAAAAGATGGAAAGAGAAAGAGAGAGAGAGAGAGAGAGAGGGAATAAGAGATGGAAAAGCAGAAAAATCAGAAATGATGCGTGCAAAACTGGCGAAGGAAAGAAATGGTACAAAATAAAAAGGGTAAAAAAGGAGAAAGAGAAAAAGAAAAGGTAGATGAGGCGATGAGGGTAAAAGAGAAAGACTACGAGAGAAAGAGAGACGGAGAAAGAAAGAAGAGGGAAGAGAGCATTCTGGTTTGTGGGCATAGCCATATTGCTGGCGGGCCACAATTATGATAATAGCCCCCCCGAGTCTTGAGTCTTGTTAGAGCGAGATGAGCGCAAGCAACTCTTTTATCCGTATCTTCTTGTTTTCAGATTTACCCTCGTCGCCGGCGTTGGTATACTTCAGCGTGGATACCACCGTGGATACTACCGTGGATACCACCGTAGATAGCAGTCTACTGTTTTTCCCCCGTAATATAGCTCCACGAGGTCACGAGGTGCCTCCTAAGAAATCGTTCTTTTCACAAGGAAACAGAATGAATGCAAAAAACTTAACGTTTTTCTCTAATTCAGATGTTAATTTGTTCTTTTAGATTTATATCTACTTTGGTCTTACGAAGAGAGCACGAATGTATTGGTATTCATACGCGACGATAGGTTTTTTTTAAATTAGTAATTAAATAAAATTTTCTTCATCCAGATGAATCCATTCGAATTTCAAACAGATTTGAATTTTTATCTTTGTTAAGTTCTACTTGCAATATAAAAGGTATGATATTACGAGCGATTCAGGATGCAACTTATTAGAAAATTCGCATATAAATAACGTCAGAGATTGAAGAAGAAGTAGTTTTTCTTTGGATAATCTCAAACATACATACTCCCTTCAGTTACCTTTTGATCATTAGGAAAGCTAGAAACCAACGCAAAGACGCGTCTCTGGTACTTGAATCACGAATAAGCGAAACGTTTGATATTACAAAAATCAAAGCTGGAGAAAGCTCGATTCTCCCACAGCCGGTTCGGAAATATAAAAAATGAAAGGCCGCGCAAGGATGAAAGGGTAGTTTTTTCGCTCTTTTTCCAGAGGATTCAGTGGCCGTATAGAAAAAAAATAGCGGCGGAACTCGAAAAAAAAAAAAAAGAGAGCATCATATATATACGTATACATATATAATATTCATACATATTTGCGTTGAACATACGTATGTTGGTGGATGTTTGTAACCGCGTCTACAAAACGCGCGCAAACGTTGTAAAAGGCAAACGGAGCGTGTTTTATCGCGCGCTTTTCACCGCGCGGCCCTTTTGAACGGCACACGCGTAAAGCGTTAATTGGAGGCCGCGCCGTGATCGGCCAAAGAAATTTCCTTTTTCTTTCTTCCTTTACTTTCTTCTATATTTCTTTTTTTTTTTTCTTTTTCTTTTTCTTTTCCTTCTCTTCCTGTTACTTTTGCAGAAGCTTACTCTCAACACACCCGGTATATACCTACTGTCTCTACACATATGTACTTATTATCACAATATGCATATGTTATACTTATGTACATGGTAGTAGGGAATATAATGGTGCGAAATAGCGAAGAGGGAAGAGAAAAATTCAAAGAGAACTGTTTGTTTTTTATTTTTCTCTCTCTCTCTCTCTCTCTTTCTCTTTTTCTTATTCAACACTTTTTCTCCGAGCTTTTGTATAAGGTCAGCACATTGCAAAACGAATAATTATATTATTGCAATGTTAAATAACTTTTTTTACGCTGAGATATATCACCTTATGTATTTATTCTATTGCGAAGATATTTTTATATTTTCATTATAATATATATATATATATATATATATGAACACGAGAATATATCTATATCAATAGCACTCTATATCCTATGAAGTTTATATGAGATGGCATGAACAATTAGTACAATAGGATGTTCCAGTTCGATAAAATCGTGGTCGAAATGAAGCACTATTGTAAAAACTTTGATCATACACACACACACACACACGAGTATCGTAAGATTAATAATATATTATTACGCGGGCATTGTCGATGCATCTAAGCTTACACAAATGAATCGTCAAATGTAACAGCAAATAGATACATCCAAAAATATAACAACGTATCTCTAACTAATATTTATAATATAATATTAAAAAAAAAAAATATTTTCGTTCGCGCGAAACGAGATAGAAAGAGTAAAGGAGAGGGAGAAAGCAAAGACAACGGATATTGATCGCGATTTGACGCAAAGCTACCGCATCGAAAAGGAAGAAAATGCTCGATCGACCTAATTTCGTTCTTCCGGCCGCTCTCCTTTCTCGATTGTAAATCGTCGGGCTTTTTAAGCTGAAAAAAAAAAGAAAGAAAAAATCACCATGAGAAAACATGCTTGAAAGTTCTTATATTTGATATATTTTCCAGGAGCCGTTAGCGGCCGGCTAGAAGATAAGCGATTTCGAATAAAAGGAGAATTTGGTGGAGGACTCGGGCAAGATATACGATTGTTTGTCGAGATTAGAGCCGACAAAGGGTTCCGTTCTGCCTCCTTAACTCTTTCTCTCTCTTTTTTTTTGCCTTGATTTAAACAGGGCGTCCCGTATTTGCTCTAGATTAAACAGACCTTCGTAAGAAGCCGATGTACTCCAAGTCCTCCTCTTGTTTATGATACGACCAACGGCAAAGCGTTAAGGATCCATTGTACATACGCTTACTTCGCGGATATATTTTATTTCTTCTTTCCTTTTTTACTTTATTTTTTATTCCGTTCCAGTAATCCGATTTAATATCTTTCATACGCTAATATTTCGCGACTCTTATCGTTGTTTTTGCGTATCCCTTACTCGTTCTTTTAAAAAATATTTCATACAATTTTAATTCATTTATTTGTTCCTATATTCTTTCTATTTTTATATTCATCCCTTAGTACGGTAAATCATTTTTTTTTTTAAATAACAATATTTTTCATATTTTACTAGATGTTTTTTTTTTATCACGGAAGAATGTTTGCAAACCTAAACGCTCTTTTTTTTTTGTAATTTCCGTGCTCGTAATTAATGAAGGAAAACTAAATGTTTGATTTCAGAGAAGAGCAATGAAATAAAGCTCGTATATCCGTTACGAAAATAAGGTCGCGTAAATACCAGAGGTTAATGGGTTAATCCTTAGAAGATGACCGCAAAGAATGTCCATCGTAGTTCTTTTTACGTGAATTTCTTTTATAAATTCTCCATCGTGGACTTGGCTAAGAAAATAATTCAACATGTTAAAGAGATAGGATGAAAACCCACGAAGATAGAAAAAGAGAGATGGAGAGCCGTGGGCTTCAAAATTAAATCGTCATACTTGAATTGATGTAATCGTTAAAAATTAAGTTAATAATAAGGAAAAGATAAATGAAGGAAAGATTAAGGGTAAGAAAGAAGATGGTTATATAAGATCGATCGAATTTCCATCCGTTGAGTTCATCGATAAGGTATCGTGCTTCGTGGAAGCAAATACGAACCACTCCCGTGATGCTTTTTGATATAAGACGTATAAAAAGAATAACTCAACTGAATTCTTTCTCTCTCTCTTTCTCTTTCTCTGTCTCACACTCTCTCCCTACCTCTCGTGCTTGCTTCTCTTTTTTCACGTTTCTCCCATCTCGTTGCGGTTATACTCTTTCTCTCTTCATCGCAAGCTTTTCAATCAGCCGCAAATTTGCAAAACGAGTCCTGCCTCCTCTTCCTTCCCTTTTCTTCTATCTTTCTTTTTTTCTCTCTTCTCGACAGTAATAACGGCGTTTTATAATCAAGCACATCGTCGACAGAAAAAGGTATAAAGAAGGTATAAAGAGGGTAAAAAAAAGAGAGGAGAAAAAAGAAGAAGAATGATTCGAAGGAGGCTACTTGGGCGTTTGAACCACCCGTAAACGTTCGAGAATTATGCAGATGTGGAACGAATATGCCATCGCTCTAGATCTTTTTCAACTTTACATCGAGAAAGATGAGAATTTTTCAATTACATACTCGGCATTGCTTGCATAAGCGTGCTTGCAATATGCCGCGCAAATCTGAGCCGATTAACGTACATCGACTCGAATTTCCTCCCACTTGTTTCTCCTCAAGACGATAATAAACACCAAACTGCATAACTTTCTTCCTCGAACGACGTCATATTAAATTACGATCCGGTAGGATCAGAATTCTCTTTAAAGGTTGTCACGCTTTAGCGAAGCAAACCTAACATGCAAGACAAATTTTTCTTTACATACTTTCTTATGAAATATTGCGAACTTTTTGAAAGGGCGATTAATCGTTTCCAATTATTCTTTATCAAATAACGTAAACGATAGCAATTGTATATTCTTTTAAACAGACTACTTAAGATTTTTCTCTGCTCCGTTGATTTAATACAAATTATTTCTCGTAAATAAATGCAAGCGAAAATGTTCTCAATTGGTATTTTCGTGAGGAGGAAAGGGAGGGGGAAGAAAGAAAAATAGTTACGACCTTAACGAAAGATTTCTTCATCGAAACAGAAATACCCCAGAAGAGTTTCATCCTCCGTAAGTTTCGGGCAAGCTTAGCCAAGTGTAGTTCTCGATCGTTCTTTCTACTGTGTCACATTCATTGGAAGTTTTCCATAACGACGCGACGCGAAGTCTGCAAAGGACGATTGCTTATTCCCTAGACGTGTGCTTTGTTCGTGTTCGTTAGATCGTAATAAACGCCATAATTAACAAAGAGTGTTATAAGCCGAATACGAAAGCAGTAAAAATATATAATAAAGAGAGAAAAGAAAAATCATGGAAAAGTGTTAATTTGAATGATTTTATTCGGGGTAAAAATCGTAAATTGTTGAAAGCACGATTAGTCGGACATCCTCTATTATTTTTCAGATGAGGAGCCAAATATGTAGATAGGAGGGAGAGAAAAAATTCTGACAGTATATGTATAAGAGAAGCGTGGTGGGGGTAAGCGCGATGCGAGTCTCGTGTCGTGATCGTGGGTGGACTTGTAGAGAGGTCGGTTAAGCTCGGGTGAGTTCGGTTAGATTCGGGCGAGGAGGAAGCGACGAGCGAGGTACGACGAGCCCAGCCGAGCCATGGCGGCGGTCGTGTCGCACACAATCGCTCGTGGCTTTCACGAGGTAACTCACGTTCGCTCCGTACGACGCGTCAAATAAAAGATACTTTGCTTTGCTCGAAATTTTCCCCTGTCGCGTCGCGTCATTTACTCGTCCCTTATTTTATCCGCGAAAACTACTCATTCTCTTCTCTTCTCTCTCGTAGCGAGACTCTACCGTTGTTAATTGAAAAAAAGTGTCGAGCTGTCAAAGCGCGCGCGTTCCTTTTCACGACTCTTTCGGACGGCGGGAGGGAGAGGAACGGAGATAGAGAGATAGACGCAAAGAAGGATACTTTGTCGCGTCGTGTCAGGCGTCGCGCTGCCAAGTCGTGCACGCGCGACGCCTTAGCGTTTACCAGAAGAGATGACCTCTTTGACAACATTTCTCTGAAGTGTTCCTCAAGAATAAGGAAGAAGAAGAAGAAGAAAGAACAAAATAAATTTACTCTTAGCTTTTGGGGCTGCACACGTGTGTCATCCGTCATTTGATTGTCGCTGACGCTGACGCTGCTGGCGCAGACGCGATGTCGCTCTTCGAACTGACGTCGATTCTTTTCCTCGTGCTTGCCTCGCCTGCCTCGGGATACTTCAATCTTTTTCTCAGCCAGGCAGAAGTACGCAAACTCATGGGTAAGTTCATTCATCGCACACGCTTACGATAATAAACGTTCGATAATTACGGTTATTTCGTTGCGATCTTCCATCGAGATCAAATACGCGCCCGTACACTAGCCGCGAATTGTTTTTCAAATGTCTTAACTGTCTCCCGATTGGCTCGTTCGAATCTCCACCTATTAAAGTTGTCACCATTGGTCCTCCATATTTTCCAACATCGCCAACGAATCAACTATCGCGATCGATAGATATTGTATGTTATTTGTAATTTAGCGCGAGTTTCGATTTCTTTGAAATTACATATAACAATATATTTTAATCGATGAGAATTTTATCGCTCGTAAAATAAGAGACGCGTTTTTATTAGAGGTTGTCGTAAAACCGTTCGGACATACTCGACTGATTGCACGATAGGATCTTTTCATTGAAAGATTAATTATTTAATGTAAATACTCGTCAATTCGTGTGTACCTGCTTATTTAGCATTGCAATTAAGCTCCTGTACGACGACGATAGGGACGTTTTTCATTCGCTCAAGTTCGTACGAACTAATGAATAATTATTATCGCGTTACGCCGCTTGTGCTATAAGCCTTCATTATCCTTAGGGCATAATCGTGGGTTCAGGCACAACGTATGTATGTACTTACCTACAACATACACGAAATCCCTCGAATCCGAGGTAGGTAAGTGGCGAAGCGTGAAATTGTTTTAAAATACGACTCTCACCCTTCTACCCTAGAAAATCTATGTACGAGAGATAATTGGTACAAATGAGACATTTACGAAGGAAATGAATACGTTCGAGTTTCTCAATTGATACATGAATTTCGTTGAAATTGGGTCGAGCTGACCGTTTTATTCGGTCATAGAAGCGAACCAGAATCGTTTGTCGGTCGAGCTGTGAAAACGTTTTCCTCCGTGTAATATTTTACGAACGATTAAATCTACGCGGTGGAATCGCAGGGGATTCTCTTTGAAGTTTCCAACAACAAAGTTGATTGACGCGCTTTAAAAGTAAATTTATTTATTGATCGAAAGTATTTGCCAGTAACAATTATTCCATAATTAAATACGAAACGTTAGGATACGTATTCGTAATTAATATCAATAGAAATGCAATTGCAGGAAAATGATTGATAGAAAAAAGAAAAAAGTATAATTTTAAAAAGAACAAAAAAAACAAGATAAAATTAGTCTTTAATCGTAATATTTGCGATCGAATAAAGATCGTTCCGCGTTCTGATCGTTCCTTAAAAATCATCGCTCGACCGGTTGCATGCGAATCGGTGTACCGGAAGTGGAGCAATTCGTGCAGCCCACTCGACGGCGCGAACTTTCCAATATTTCCTCGATAACTTCCACGGCGGCGAATAATTCGTTTTCGGCTCGTTGAGCCACGAAAAGCATTCAGCTCGTTGCCCCGAGTTCGAAATGGCAACGGTTCGTTCGTTCGTGCATTCGTGCATTCTGGCGACACCTGAACCCACGCCTCCGATCGACGATTCTCTTGCTCCCGAGAGAAACAGAGAGAGAGAGAGAGAGAGAGAGAGAGAGAGAGAGAGACAGAAAAAGAAGGAGATAGAGAGAAAATCGTGCGTTCCATACATACTATTTGCCTCGCACCTTTCCTTTCTTTTTGTCTTTTCTTTATATACCACATATTGTATTATATTATATTTTTATCTATGAAAACTAAGTTAACCCTTTATTTTTTAACATATATATGTATTAACGTTACTTTGTGAAATATATTTATTCGTAAAATGACTAATTAAACTCAGAAATAACTACATACTGATGACCTGTTTAAATATAATAGAAGCTGTACTTTAAGTAAGTAATATGTATATGAATTTATGAGATACAAATAGTTGAGGTATGAAATGGAAATTTGATCCGTAGATTAGATCCGATAGAACAATATGACTAACAAATCATTAGTTTTTTAAGTACAAAAATAGATAAGAATGAATGACTACGAGCATTGTTGTAAAAAGTTCAGCAGACTTTAAAGACGGATTAAATTTCAATCTCATGTTTTAACTACTCGCCACTCGTTAATTCATATATAACCTTTTTATCGAATATTAAACAATTTCGATCATAAGATTTAACGCCGACGTATACGCATAATAAGATTATCCTGAACGTGACTCTCTTTAAAAAAATCTGAAAATAATGGTTAATCTTTGAGGATAAAATAAAAATATAGGAGATCCTGTCCTAAATAGAATATCAAGGCATCAATATGGCTTAGTGTGACACGAAAAGCAATCGAGCGGAAGTTAAAATGTTATCGTAATGTGATTTTTCGACTTTTTTCAATGATTTATATAAAAATAGTCGATCGAAAGGTGTGTCGTTTGATCGGCTTTCCTTTTGTGCTACAGGTAAGCCAGCATCTATACCGCTGTGCTGTTGGGAGATGCGCATATAGTACCTTGGATCTAGACAATAAAATATTCTAATGAAGTTCTTGTTGAAACTTGACGTTTTAGGGTCGAGGAGACGAAGGGATTCGTTTATAGTTTGTTTAAAGCCCTAATAATCAACAGACAGTCACTCTTGTTCTTTTTCGTCTTATTTTCTTTTTTTGAGGATCTTCATTTAAGTTCCCTATTCTTCTTGATGCTTTTTCATTTTGGAAGGTTCATAGGTTCGACTAGAAAAACGAAGCTGCTTTTTACCCTCGATTGTTGACTTACAATTAGATGTACATATATGTGAGTAAATTTGAATAATGTTATTTCCATATTTGTAATAAATGCATTTTCAAGTGCATGTTTCCAGGAAGAATGAGGTTTCCAATTTCGACTCGTTTAGTAAGGTTTCCCGTAATAAGGTTAGAACATCAAGTCTCGTTTCGCCACGTCGAGAAATCGATTTTGATCTCCGTCATTCCACTTGGTTACACACTACACGCTCGAATCCTACGGAAAGGTGCTTTGGCACGATCTGCTCCAATATTGAAGACCCTCTTCTTTTATTTTTCTCTTTGTTATCATATTTCGAAATTGTCCTGCTGTAAAATATACGTATTCTTTTTATTGACAAGCAAATGTATATCGGAGTATAGACATAAATATTAATATATAGGTAGTTATATCTATGTTTCTAAACAAGGTTCGAAAATCTTTGGGTTATCTGAAAGAAGCACGATCGTACGTGCTTGCCAACACCTAAGACTCATATTGCACCCGAGCGTGGATAAGATAAGCTTCCGAATTCACATTGGCGCCGAGGTTATATTTTACTTTACCAGATTACTTTGTCGATCCTTCGACGAATAATCCCAGAAAAAAAGGTGTTTCATCCTCTCGCAACATCATCGCAATCTAAAAGTTGTTTTTTCTATTCTTTTTTTGTATATATACCTTTTCATCTTCCTAATGCGTAGCTTTGCATCAATATACATACATATAGAGGAAATGATGACATACTCGAAAAATATGCAGACCTGAATGATGCCTAAACTTTTGCAGATCTTTTACAATCAAGCAAGGAAGGAATTATTTAATCTCAAAAGAACTTGAAATATAAATCATTTGATGATATACAAATAAGAAATACTTTGAAATTATTTCTCATCTTCAATCATAAATTTATATTTTATGTAAAAAATATTTAGTTGGAATTAATAAACGGTAAAGAAATAATGAATAGAATGATAAAATATCTCTAAGAGGAAAATAATAAATGAATTATCACTTACTTATTGTGTGTTAGAGTTAAGTCGATAAAAGATATAAGATCGTTTGGAAGTATATACAAAGTTTAGGTAAATTAATAGTGCATATCCAATTTGAAATACTGCAAAGCGGAACGATTCGTAATCATTCGTCAGAACTCCGTGTCAAAACAGGAAAACATGATGTTCGCGAAGAACCTCGTGCCCGAGGCCAGTTTTCGCTCGCGTGAGACGAGCTTGGGTTCGACCTTAGCTAGTTAGGGTCTGACAGGCCCATCTTGATGTTGTTCGAGGAGTGGGGTCGTCTCAAAGGTCCCGACTGGGCCCCGTGAAACCGTTTATGTACGCACAATGGCGCAGCAATAGGTGGAACACAAACGGACATTAAGAAATTCGATCGGCTCGAGAAAATGTGTTTCGACAACAACAATCGGACACGGTTGCGTTTCTATCTACTTTTCTATCCGCTTTTCTTTGTTAACCGATTAGTAGCGTATATTTTCGTATAGTAAACAAATGAAACAAGTTTTTTCAATTACCCTTAGTTATTTTTTATTAGATATAATATTTTCAATATCGAGATACGAAGAAATGCGTAATAAAATAATTATGAAAAATGCGTGGCCATCGTAAATGTCGAAACAGAGTTAACTATTTCGAGTTAACGATTAGAATTCTCCGAAGAGGATAGAAATAAAAAGAAAAAAAAAGATACGTGTTTTATTTCGAACAATATTTTAAGCAGGTTCGATCGATGCGATATTTCAAAGCGGATGCTGCGCCTCTGTCGACATCAATCTTCGGCTCCTCGTTAAGATCCGCGCCTTAAGACTTCGTTGGTGTGTAGGAGAATTCGTTTCTGAGCGGACAGGGGAGGCCGTCAAAGACAGTACGGGTTGTGTCGGGACGTCATTTACATGAGGACTCGTCTAGAAGAAAAAGAGATATAGGAGAGAAACAGAGAAACGAGACACGGACGGACCCCCGTGGATTTTCCTCCGAAAGCCAACTTCATTTCTTTTATTTTCTTCTTCTTTCAATTCGAGAAAGATATTAATCCTTTGAGTAACCACATCAATGATATGCTTTATTTGCGAACGTAAGTTTTAACAAAATAAATTCTAACAAAAGTCTTATAAATTTATATTAAAAATGACACGTGCATCTATCTATTCAAATATTTATACTTTTTCGTTTAATCTCATACGAGTTTTAGTAAATTTTTTTGCGAGCTATCTTTTAACATATTTCTTGTTAGAATTTGGAAGTATCTTTTTGCATATTCTTATTATCTTTAAATACTTTAGTCTTTTATATTTGCACGA